TGCGAAGGCATATTGACTATCTGTGTAGATTGTAACTGTTTTGTTTTTCATTAATTTGCACGCTTCTGTCAGAGCAACAAGCTCAGCAGCTTGAGCAGAAAATGTTGCAGGTAATGCTTCTGCTTTCAGCACTTGTGTCTGTGTAACCACAGCGTACCCTGTTTGGGTTTTACCATATTCATTTTTCCGGGAAGACCCATCTACATACAGAGTTTCGCCTTCGCTTAGGGGTTGATCAGACAAGTCTGCTCTTGTCTTTGCTGTGGTTTCAGCTAGGGCTTGACAGTCGTGAGGCTGTCCTTCTTCCTCTGTAGGGAGGAGCGTTGCTGGATTCAGCGTTGTGCATCGTTCTAGTTTTAGATGGGGTTGAGAAAGGAGTGTAGACATGCATGCTAAATGTCTAGCAGGTGACAGGAAGTTCATGTTGCTTTGCAACAAAAGTGCTGAAACTGCATGCGGTACTTTTAATGTCAGGGGGTGGAACAAAACTATGTCTGCGCTTGCAGTCACAGCCAGTGATGCTGCGATCACTGCTCGAACGCAGTGTGGTTGAGCACACGCAACTGGGTCTAATTTAGATGAGTAGTAGGCGACAGGTTTGTTCTTATCGCCATGCTTTTGAGTCAAGACTGAGGTCATGAAATTTTGTTTGCAGTCCACCATTTGTATAAACTCCTTTGAATAGTCAGGGAGTGCCAGGGTGGAACTGCTCACCAGGGTTTGTTTAATCTTGCAGAATGCTTCTTCTGCTTCCTTGGTCCACTGTATTTTATCAGTCATTTTTAGATCAGTTTCATACATTAGTGAGCTCAAGGGTGTTGTTATTTCTGCATAATTTGGAATCCAGCTTCTGCAGTAGTTTGTTAAACCGAGAAATGACATCATTTGTTTCTTTGTCTGTGGTTTTGGTGCTTGCAAAACTGCTGCTTTTCTCTCTGGGACAATAGTTCTTCTTCCTGCACTCAGCTGATGTCCTAAATATTTTACTTGTTCTTTGCAAAACTGTAGTTTGTTTTTGCTGGCC